CTAGCTAGACGGTGTTGGGACACTTCCCTCATAGTCACCACAGACCTTTGCTCATCCACATAGGACTCCAATTGCTGATCATCCACGGCTCATCCAAGAAGCACTGGAACTTCCGTAAAGCCGACTGGGACTTGTATAGTATCAAACTGGAGAGGAGTGTTGTAACCATCCCTTCTCACTGCATCCCAATCGAGGAGGCTTTCCAAAGCTTCCAAGGAGCAATTTTCAGTGCTGCTACTACAGCCACCCCCTGTGGCTGTAGGCCAGTCTACACTGTGCTTGGATGTCGAATGCCAAGCTCTCCTTGAGGAGTACGAAGGGTCTGGAAACCCCGACATTGCTGACCACCTAGTTGAATCCCTGGATGCTGCCAGACGTAGCCAATGGGAAGAATAAGTGGAAAAACTCAACTTCACCCACTCCAGTCGGAAGAGTTGGAGCCTGATTCGTCGACTGGGTGCCTCCCAACAACCACCAGGACAGTCTAGACCAGCCATCAGTCCAAACGCTGTTGCCAGCCACCTTCTCCAGGTGGCAAAAGCTCCACTGTCGAAACCACACCGTCAATCTGTGCGCAACGAGTGTCGGCAGTATTGTCGCTTGAAGACAGTTGGACTGGAGGGTGACTGCCCGGAGGAATTCACAGAGTTAGAACTGGAGGCAGTGCTCCGTACGCTGAAGGACGGCTCTGCCGCAAGATATGACAACATCCTGCCAGAATTTCTTAAACATCTTGGATCCAAGGCTAAATCATGGCTCGCTTCATTCTACAAGCAGACAATTCGAGAAAAAAAAGATGCCACGAGCCTGGCGCCAGGAAAAAGTCATCGCCATCCCGAAACCCGGCAAGGACCCAAATCTTGCGGCTAGCTACCGCCCAATATCCTTGCTACCCATGTGTTTTCAATATACTCGAACACTTGATCCTTCATCAAATCAGCCCAGTCCTGGAGAAAACCATCATAGATGAGCAGGTAGGGTTCAGGAAAGGACGTAGCACTGGTGACCAAGTCCTTACCCTGATGACAAACATTGAAAATGGATTCCAGAAAAATCTGAAAACTGTGACCGTCTTCCTTGACTTAACTGCGGCTTATGACTCGGTCTGGCATGCTGGTCTCCTGTTGAAACTATCCAAAGTTTAACCGCGTTGGGTAGTAGAGGCAGTGGTGGAAAGAGTACTGAAAAAAATATACTCAAGTAAATGTACCATTACCTTCCAAAAAATGTAGTGCGAGTAGAGTAAAAGTACTTGTCCAAAAAACTACTTGAGTAAGAGTAAAAGAGTAGCCTATTTAAAAGTACTCATGAGTATTGAGTAGTGAGTACTGAGCTGTGGATTCTACCCCTCATAATAAACGCTGTACACCGCCATTTATACATTTTAAAAACGTTGTACATTCTGTAATTCACATTATCTTATTTGTCATAAAGAATGAAGAGTATCTATCATCCAGCAGTTTTCATTTTGACTGCCAACTCTTTAAAATACATCAAAACAGCACAGAAACAGTATTCAGTTGAAGAAAAGATGAAAGTTATTCTCAGTACAATCATCCCCATTTAAATCATAAAGTTTGAAAAAATAGATTTAAAATCATGTGTAAGGCCACTGAGACAGCATGCTGTTGTTGCACATAAAATATTAATGTTTAGAACAGTGCAAATACAAACACCATTAGAAACTCATAGTTCAGCATCACACACCATGATATGGGTTAAAATGAGAGCCCATTTCTCTCCAAAACGGTGCCAGTTTTAGCGTTTTGCAATAAAGAAATAAAAATAACTAAACTTGATCATTTATGTTACAATCTTAACATAAATGCACATTGTTCTAGAAGAATGGCAAATTCATGCCCTACCTTTTACACATTTACTCGAATTGTTTTGCTGATAATACAATTTGTAAGGAAAAATGCATTAAATAGTGAGGTATTTCTGGGGAAACTTTTTCAAAGGAAAACACACACACACACACGCACGCATGTCTCTTTGCTGAGCCGCTGCGGTCTCGGTGAATCAGCAGCATCCACAACTGAACGGAACAAAAAGTGTTGAACTTGAAAATTGTTTATGCACGAGT